TTGTTTAAAGTTGTGAGCTTTCAACAGCCAGTCTGCTGTCTTCGACGGACAAAAATGAAATGATAAAATAGACCTAAAAGTTTTGAATATAACAAGCGAATGGCACATATAATTTCGACGATGGCTGTAAACACCTAGAAAACTATAACGACAAAGAGAAAACAAGTCTGTGAGAGCTGCTACACTTCTGTGGAAAGCCACACGCACACCTGGCGAGAAGAAATGCACCTGAGTTATCTTTAGGCCGCGACGACAACTGAACATGAACTGACACCTACGTTACACCGGTCAGGCTGGACCGCTGTCTCAACCCAACCCACACTCCACGGGTCTGCGACGGTGCGTGACTTATCGTCACGCTCGTATTTGATTGTTTCCGTTTTGTATTGAGCAAAATGGCGGAGGGCGGAGTGCCCCAACTTGGAGGCTATGAATACGAGTTTGTCGGTGAAATTCCCGATGACTGGGAATGCCTTGTGTGTCAGCTACCGCTTAAAGATCCAGTTCAAATCGAAAAGTGTGGTCACAGGCTTTGTGAGATCTGTGTTGGGACAATATTGAGGTAAAGCAGTAGCTACTACACAGTAATCTGTGTACGTGAAGTTATAAATAGAGTTCAAAGCATAAATATTACTGTATTACTCAGCATTATAAACGTATTACGATCAGGAACCGAGACTTAACAAATCGTTGGTCTTTTTCAGATTTTCTCTGACGTTGCGTGCCATCGTAAAATTCTTGATGCGCAGGTCAAATGCCCCAATGCCAGTTGCTCATGGATTGGAGAACTTAGAGATGTCCAGGTAAATTGTTTACTGCACTGAAAGCCACCTGTAAGAAGGTTGTCTAGTTGGGATTAGTTAAAACCCATCACGTAACGCTTTTGTTCAGCGTTGCGTGACGAGATTACCAGACATATTTGTTATTGCTGAAGAGGTATATGAGGGATTAGCTCTTAGTCCTTTTATCCTCTCTTGATTGGCACTCAATCCTTCACACAATTCCACATGTCTTACAGGAACAAAATCATAGTTTGCGGCAAGGTGAAAATTTCATCACAGTCATTATCATGATTAATCGACATTTAGCTAATCACAATCACTGAATTCCACGTCAATAAAATATGTCAATACGAGGACCTTTAGCTAAACTGGGATTTTGTTAAAGTGTAGGAAGCGTGGTTCTTTAATCAAAAGCAGCTACACGCATTTGAATTGTTGTTTGTTTGTTCCATTATTAGAAACACGGAGATGAATGCAGTTATCAGCCTGTATGTTGTATTAACGCGGGGTGCAATGAAGAAGTCCTTCGCAAGGATGTCATTACTCACGTGGAGACCACGTGTCTCTGGTCTGTGATTGAATGCGCCTTCTGTTCAGAACGCTTCCCCAAACTGGAGAAAAAGGTCAGTTATTGTAGTTTTTCGTGGTAGGCGCGGTGGCCCCATGGTTAGTGCGCTCAACTCCGGATCGAACGGTCCGGGTTTAACAGGGGCATAGCTAGGATTAGCCAGGATTCCTCAAAGGGGGGTCATACTGTGTCAAAGTGAGGGTTCTCACTAGATTTTCATGTCATTGTCCATGTTATTTTTTCGGGTTGAGGACATTTTGTTGTGTTCTTGGGCAAGACACAAATCTCATCGTGCCTCTCTCCACCCAGGTGTATAAATGGGTCCTGGCGAACTTATAAAAACTGGATGGGGGGAGGAGGGTAACCCTGCGATGGACTAGCATCCCATCCAGTGGAAGCAGTAGAAATACTGCTAGTCACTTCATGCTACTGAAACCGGAGATATATGACGGCCTGATGGGCCACTTGGCTTGTATGCAGACTTTACCTTTTTAACACTTGTAGTTCTCAGAACTGAAGATAATCATACACAATTATCTTTCCTTTTCTTTGACTGAAACATCGATAACCTTTGTCCGTTATGACATATTTTGTTTTGATATTCTTTGCCCTGGATTAGGCTCACAATGAGGTGTGTCCGAAGTTTCCAGTCGAGTGCAGTAACAAGTGTGGAGTGAAGAACATACCAAGAGAAGAGGTGCTGTTATCTACCAATCCAAAGTTTGTAATGTAAATTATCCTCAACCGATTGTCGTTCCGCCACAGCAAGTTGCTTCGTATCCAGCGTGGTTGCCCCGATGGTGTAGTGGATATCACGCCCGCCTAGCATGCGGGCCGGGGAAGACGCGGTTTCGAATTCTGCTCCAGGCACGAAGTTTTTCTTTCATTTCAGAGACGCTTGTCGAAAGCAGCCTGTAATTTGTTAACATTTATCTAGCACCGATTGTCCTTCATGTCCTTTATGTTAGTTCAGAGGATTTGGTTGTACATTAAGATAATATTTTAAAAGGGGGATTGTGCTCAGTTTAATTTCGTTACAGGGAAACCGAAACGTCGACGTGTCGCAATTCTAAGGGCCACCTCCCATAGCAAAACCCAGCTGTGCACCATCTTGCATGCGGCTCATGCGTTCGAAATTTGAATTGACCAATCAGGATTCAGCAGGCGGAAACAACTGTTCTGTCCTGACGTCGTTGTATGTTAACCGCGAAGGCATTGAAGTTGGCCAACTTTTCTCACTGGAGACGATGGCATTGATATTCACGAAAAAGGGATTTATATTTCAAAACACTATATCAGATTGTAAAAAGTGAAAAATATGCAACATTCTCCAAGCTTTTAATTTGGCGCCAAAATTTGGTCGCCCTTGCTCGGTAACTCGCTCGTCGTTTGTCGAGTGTTGCCAGATAAGTTAGTAGTTGTATTATTCTGAATAAAATATGTTGTTTCTCGGTAAATTAAACCCGGAATTTTCGATTTAAGTGTTGAAAGAGGCCAATGCAACTTTAGCATTGTCTTTGTTAGCTGTGACCGGTAAAAGACTATTATCGTGTCATTATCGATCGTTTCGTTTCGGAAGGACAGCTCGTTTTTGACCACCTCTCGTACTACGGACGTAGTCACCGTGTGCAAGGCAGTATATGGATGCTATTAATTACCAGAAACGCGTTTTCAACCTCTACTTAGTGGTTCTTATGACTGAAGGAAACAATACGGCCTAAACGTGACTTTTTTGTCTTGTGTGCAGGTCGCTCATCACACTGAAAAGTACTGTCCGCTGACTGTAATAGATTGTGAATACAGTGCAATAGGATGTACAATTAAGGTAAGGTGTGAAGAAGTCTTCAAAACAAAAGTACAGCGATGTAGTTTCAGACGGGTGTCTCCGATAAACGACTGAGCCCGCGATCAGTGTCATTTCTTCACAGAAAGTTGTCATCAATGGACTTTTTCGGCGATACGGCAGTCATTTTGAATTCTATAGTTTCGAATAGCTATTATGGGATGCTTAGGCAGCAAATACATACTAGCATCCCATAATAGCTATTTGAAACAGCAGAATTCAAAATGGCCACCATATCGCCGAAAAGGTTCATACGGCACGTTCGTTGTATCAATAATCTAACATGGCTCCGAGGCTTTCAGGAAAAAATTGCAATTTATTATTGTAAGTTTCCTTTACCACTCAATTCCCAAAAGAGACTGGGATACAAAAAAACACTTCCAAATAACGGTAGACGATTGTCCTGAAAGCGTCGGAGCCATGTTACAGTAGTGATATATCGAACGTGGCTTATTCTGTCGATCAATGGTTTAACTTGTCACCAATTCTCAGCTATCAGTTATTGAACTCCATCCCCACCCTTCTTATTAGTTCACGTTGCTCTTAGTTTCAGAGGCGAGATTCCCAAGCTCATTTTGATGCATTGAAGGACACCCATCTGCACTTGGCTTGCAAGAGTCTGGTAAATATGTCAAAGACAATCCAGGAACAAGCTCAGACCATCACTCGCCTTGAAGAAAAGTTAGAACGCTTACAGAATTCCCCCTTCATCTGGAAAATATCGAACTTTGCATCGGTCATGGAGGCTGCCAAAACAAACGAAAATAGAGTTATAGTTAGCGATCCGTTCTACTCCACCCATAATGGCTACAAGTTCGCGGTCGAGCTTTACCCCGACGGCTACTACACCGATGATAACGCTAACGAGAAGGGTGAATTTATGTCAGTTTATCTCAGAATTCTGGTGGGCGAATATGATGGACTTCTGATATGGCCTTTTCAAGACTCAGTGGTATTTACCTTGTTGGACCAAAATGAGTTAGTGGAAAAAAGAAGGCATCTAAGAAAAGAACTGCAACAGCCGCCCGAGGGATTAGCAAGACCAACCGAAGCCTCAGAACCAGCTTGCGGTGTTTGGGAGTTCGTATATCACAAGAACTTGTATTCTCGCTCCTATATCAAAGACGATACGATATTTGTCAAGGTCGCTTTTGTAGAACATCGGGAAAGAAAGTTTTCGAGGATTTTCCATGGTGATTATGATATATAAAATTCAAAAGTGTGTTTTCTTTCCTATGTTTAGGAAACAGCGTATTGATGGATGCTGGCATTGGACATAAGCTATTTTTATCTCTCATTCCATTCCGCAATGTTCGGATTAAGTATGCAAGATTAGACGACGTTTTACTTCTCAAATGCTTTCAGCCGCTATATTACAAGTAACAATTTTGTACTAATTATGAAAATATTAAGATTACCGAAGCTTAGGTAAAGTATGGTAATGCAGATCTTACATCAAGTTATGGGTATAGTGAATTATTGAAGACAAATTACGTAAGTCTAAAAGTACCTTTAATTCGTACTTTTAACATATTTGTGAATTAAAGTAATGTGAACTGATACGCATAATGCAGCTGTTGCACTTAATAGTAAAACACGCAACTAAACCTTATGATTGCTAGAGAACAAAACGAAATCCGGGGAGGACCTTCAGTGGTACAAACGACAAAGCACTGCATTCTGCAACGATCGCTCCAAATTCTGGACGCAGACAATCACAACGGTCACTACTTTTTTGTTGATGTTGAGACAGACCTTAATGTACAACATTTAAAGTTGTTCTGTGAAAATCACAAAAGTTTGTCAGTGAAAGTTTGGAATTTTTTTGGCGCGTCATCAAGAACCCAAACGTCAAACTCGAGAAATGCGCCAGAAAATAGCGCCGTGAAGTTTTCGGGACATCGAGGATGGCACGCAAGATTAATAAGTCGTCACTGTAAATTATGCTTATATAAAGAAAGGAAGGAACATAAAAATGATATCTAACAACGGATCAAAATACGCTCTGTACCGAATACAAAGTAATATTACAATAACCATTTTTAAAAAGCCGCACACAATTATTTTTCTCGTAATTTCCTGTTCAGCACGAAGTCGGTCCAACATCTCCCTCTTATCCCTTTCTCTTTCTTCTTGTCCGCTTTCACGAAGATATCGCAACTGGGTTTGAAATTCACGTCGTAATTCATATTCAACGTGTTCAATCTCCTCCAAAGCTCCGCGATCATTGCAAATGGTCCTGCTCGCATCGGAGTGTCGTTTCTCTAAACTAGAAATTGCTTTCTGCATTTTTTGCAGTTTTTTGTTGATTCCAGCAACTTCGTCTCTTAGACCTTGTAACCTGTCAATTTTGGGGATTAATTTCTGCAGCTGATTTATTGCATCTTGAAGCTCCATCAGCTTTCTATCGTTTGCCACTTTTCTTGACAGCTCTTCTACTTCTTTCTTTATGGCGACGACTTCAGATTGTAGACCTGACAACATGTCAGCTGCATTGTCTCGACTCTGCAACTCTTCTAGCTTCTTATTTGTTACAGCTATTTTGTCGTGTAAGTCCTCCAGACCTCCACTCTTTAGAACTGCTTCAGATAATTCTTTTATATTGTTCATGACAGTTGAAATGTCATTTTGCAATTCTTCCATATTTGCAAAGGCGGAGGTCGACGAAACCTGAAGTTCTTGAAGTCTATCACAAACCAGCTTCCAGTGGGATTCGGTGTTTCTTTTCAAATGATCTTGAATGGCTTTTCGTTGGACCTGAATAAATAATCACAGCTAAATAAGCAAATGTAGGCCATATTCGTATTTTCGGTTTTGATCTAGAACTAGCCTGCAATGGAGGATTAATTATATCGGGGAATGTTATTAAAAAAGAGATTTATTCCATTTGGATTTCAAAAGACTTCCCGCATCAGCCTCAGTTGCAAGCTGGTTTCAGTCCAATACCGAGAATACGACAAATAAATGGTCTATTCTATTTCATTTAAACCGATCAGGTAGATCGCAAATGAATGAGACTGCTTACAATCGAGGGAGAGTTCAACGAAACGAAACGAAAAAGGGATATGCTAATAAACCTAAACATGACAAAGTACCATTCTTTCAGGCCAAGAACGTAACCGAAAAACAGCATAGTCAGTTTTACAAGATACCCGTGCCTTATTATTACAGTATAAAAGCGCGCCATGGAAGCTGTTACTTCGTTAACTCTCTACAGGCAGGCTAGAATTAGCGCGAGCTTTTGACGCAATTTCAGAGTTTGGAAAGACTCGAAATAACTGTGAAAGCTCGAGTTTCCACAACATTTTTCGTTCAAGGCCCAGACTCCCACTCATGTTTGCTGATAACTCGAAAAACGTTTCTTTTTAGTTCTTAAATACCACCAGTTTATGAGCAAATAAGAAACAAAGATTTATATTTTTTGATCGAACTGATAAACACGTGATTTTCCGTTCTCTTTTCCTCATATTTTAACTCGTTTAAATATGTGAGAACTCGCCTACGGGGCTAGTGTTCCCAGGGAATTTCTCAATTCTCCTGAATTGAATTTCTGATTCGTGCTTTTCAGTTATTCCCTGTTTTCCAATTGCCCATAATTCACTCTGTTTGCCCCCCAGATTGTGCATAAACCATTGTTGTGAACTGTTCTTTGGAATATGCAGACCTCCCAAGAGCATTTCACAACAATAGTTCATATAAAAGTTTGGAGGCAAAAAGAGTAAAGTAAGGGAAATTGGAAAATAGAGAATGGCTCGATAGAAACGCATAAAATGATTTCTATTTCTCACTTACAGCAATTACAAGGCGTACCTTTACTTGGCAACCAACATGGGCAAATGTACACTGTACTTTAGTATAAAGGCAGCTCTCTTCAATGTGATCATTCATCTGAATTTTGAAGTGACCAGAAAGGTTTTCATTAAAAATTATAAATCAAGTTCTGTGTCAAGAATACCCACTAACCCATTTAGAGTTCATAAAGAATGAATCAATATTGTGGTTTCACCGCACTGTTGCTCTAGGCAATGTCGCTTGTAGCCTCTCTAGGGGTATCGAATGGTGTTTACGAGCATTCGAGCCTTGCGTTTATTTTTGCGAGCACGAGCAGTGATCAAATTTGTCTTGCAAGCAGCGAGCGCTTTAGAAAATACAGATGGGGAGCAGCGAGCACTTCATAAATTTTTGCTAATCAGAATCACTCTTTTGTGTCTTTTACTGAAAGCAAACGTTATTTTGCGGCAAGTAAATTGGCTGACACCTCCAAAACGGGACAATAGCCCCAAAGCTAGACACTCGTTCTTATTGTGGTTCCCAACAGCTTACAGCCAATAATGCTTNTTAGCTTCGACACTTAAGTAAGACGTCTCCATCGATATCGCTCGGTAAATTGTACAGATCATGAAATATTTGATCAAAATTTTAGGCCTACCTTATCTCGCGCAATTTTTTCACCACATCCTTGGAGGCAGTCCACTGGATATTTCGTGCACGCGTCAAAATGATCCTTTAAAAATAAGTGATATATTTTTCAGAGAATGACATTTTAGGAACAGCTTAGCAGCCGTTTGAGATTTGAAGAGAAGTTTAAGAGTTGAAATGTGCAGAAATGAAACGAAACTACTATCACTTCTTGCTCAAGCAGCACCATTGCCTATTTGCTACCCCAGACAGTGATCAAATTACCCTCCCAATAAGCGCAATAGTTCAAGACCTACAACCTACAAAGAGTTCAGATAGTTCGCAGTAAAATTTGATTTTCGAGCGTCTTGGAACATTTCAGCCTCCCCCCCCCNCCCCCGTCCACCTTCCCCCTCCCAAACCACGTCAAAAATTTTCTCTTCCTGAAGGCTGGTTTCGCTAGCGACAGAGTCGCAGTCGGAGTCGTAATCAGAAGGGTAGAGCAATACGATCTAGTGAAAATTAAACCGACAGAGTCGGAAGCAGAACACCGATTCTAAAAGTGTCTCAACTAACTTTGTCAAATATTGTTGGTAGACTGACATGGAGAAGCGCAAATGCTATCTTAATTCGAATCAGCGTTATTGTTTAATCATATCACAATGAAACAAGTACCTGTCTCATGCACCACACAAAGAGTTTTTTACAGTGGTGACACTCCACTTTCCTTTTTGGGCATTTATTATTCACATGATTGTTCAGATCTTTCTTCAAAAAAGTCTCTTCACAATCCTTGTTAGTGCACTTCACACCCACAAAATTGCAACTGGTCTGATGTGTCTGAAATACAAAATCGTCATCAAGTGCTTTCATTAGCATTAAGGTAATGTTAAGTCTGTATACGAGCCAAGTGGCCCATCAGGCCGGAGCTTATCCCGGTTTCTGTAGCATGAAGCGACTA